TTTCAGTAGGAAGTACCCGTAGATAAGACTGGCTTCTTTTTGAGGACTGAGGACTTTTGAGGGTCCTGACATGCTCATTTTCCTTTGACACAGTTAGAGGATCATGGAGAGATTGGTTATCTTGCCTTTGGGAATAGGCGCCTGTTAATAAATTATGCCTGTAACAGCAGTTATCACATATTCTGGTTTGTTATGCAGCTGGCAATTCTTCCAGTTGCTTTGACCGATGCCGTATTACCGAACGGTCAGCATTTTGGTGTTCCTGACGTTCGTTTTGTCTCCTGAAATGAATAGTCGCTTAAGTCAAATGCAGCTGTCAAGGGCTTTAGCCCTTTCGAAAAATCATTAGCGTGTGTTGAGCGTCTTTTTTCTGTGTAGTTACTCCTAGGCTACGGTAAGTTGCTTTGCTGACTAGCAAGCAAAAAAAAAATCTATAAAATTGAGAAAAAATTTATTAAAAAATTAAATATGTCGCGTTTATTTATAAAAAAATTATTTTATAGAGTGCCCATACGAATGTGTTGTAAATGATTCGGGAACCGTACGAGCGCATGGTGACGCATTAACACGTGCGCAGCGTGGCAAAATAGCTCGGTTTGAAGTTTCGATGGCTGATACGGGACGCGGTGAATTGGACGTTGTGATTTCAGGTGATCATACAAATTCAAGTGTTTTCAGATGAAATTTGAAACCCAAGCTTGTTTTTAAATTTTGAACGTTCGGCGTATATGATGGGTACCAGTAGAGAAGGTTACACAGTCCAGGATAATGGGGTGATTTCCCGCACCAGGTTTTAAGGCTGAGATAACGAATCTAAGTATTGCATATACCGATAAAAAAAATCCTAGAGCAGCCTATTTTTTATTCCTTCCGAGTTATGGAGTTGTGGTTATATACACTTATGGGCCATAGGTTTATAACTCGATAATTTTTGGCAGTTTTTCTTATGGTGCATCTGTAATTTCTTTAGACCCACGTGCTGGTAATAGTTTCCAGCTTTTACGTCAAGTAAGTTAGTATTCGCCTCCCGGACATAGGCGGATCCGGAGGGAAGGGCAGGGAGGGGGAGGAAAAAGCCCGGGTCCGTTCATAAATAAGACTAAAGTAACTCTAAGTAGCAGTGTTACAGCTCTATTCCTAATTTTTTCATAGTTCTCTTCACAATATTTCGGGGCTG